GACTTAGAGAGGTTGGATTGGAGATAATTGTGTTGCTTTTTGGAAAATTCTCTGTCCCGGGGCTAGAATCGCGAGAGGATCGTACGCGTATTTCCTCTTTGCAAATGTTTCCCATCTGTTGCCAAAGTGTGATTTCCATTCTTGTTGAGTTTCATAATGAGGCAAATACTGCTTCACATTGAGTTTTTTTACTTCGCAGAAGTTAATTACTCTTTGGTTTTGTTTCAAAAGGTACTCTAAACCATTTTCCCTTGAGGAATTTGGCACCGCAGAGGAAAGAAAGGCTACGAGATAGAAGATATCTTCGTTTGGAGTGATTAAAGACGTATGTTTGTTCCATCTGCAATAAAAACAGTGTTGGAATATGGTTAGTAATCTTATTTTTCAGAATCATTTGGATGAATTTTCCTTTTTGGCATTTTGCTCACTTAGATTGATTGACTGGATAGATAAGGATAGGTCCGTTGTTGTTGCTTGTGACGATATTATTGAAAACTCCTGTAGCAAATTCAAATATGCTGCTCTTGGGAACCATGAGATTCAACCAGGGATGTGGAACCTCCCATAAACCCTTAGCTCTCAGTTTTATCTCCGCAATATGCACGCGATCCAGAAACTCGATATATGGCACTTCAGATGAGAACAAAGTGGATGGAATATAATGCAATTCGGAAAGTAACTTCTCGGTTTCCTGCAAGGTAACCATTCCTGCTATGTTAGAAACCAACGGTTTGATCTAGAGAGTATAGTGCTTGTTCGCGTTAAGTCTAATGATATATTGCTTTCAAATTTTACCTGATCCATCGAGTTAGCTTCTTCTGGGTTGAAATATTTTGTCACTTCTAGGCAATAAAGAGTTTTCCCATCTGACTTGAATTGGCTTGCCTGTGTGGAATCATTGGGACTGAAGGACGACCTCCAGTTATTGAGGAGGTCTGTTCGATTGAATATCACAAATCCTTCCAAGTAGTCGAAAGCATTCTCCTTCGAAATCAAATGTTCTTGGTCCTTTGAAAATGCAGAGAATTCTGAATAGAGTACCCTGATCCATTTAACCTATTAAAAGTCATTTAACTGTGTCAGGAAACTGGTGCTTAGAATCATAGCATATATATTCTGACTATATACATATTCCAATAGCCATGCTCAAAATGGAACTACTTTACCATATGCGGTGCTGGTCCAAGTGAGATCCGTGCGCGGGTGATTATGCCAAACTGTCCAAGCCCACCAAGAACACTGTAGAAAAGTTCAGAATTCCGCTTCTCAGAACAGGTCACAACGTCTCCTTTCCCTGATTCAATATGTAAAATATATTGTTTATCCATTGTTTGTTATACAATTTTTCTTTGTTGCAAGTTAGAAAGTGTTTGTTGCATGTTTGCACATTGGCACCTACGAACTCCTATTTTAGTTCCAAAAACTATGGTAGTGTTCAGTGTTTTTGCTCCTAATGAGATGCATATTCTTCAGGTGCATACTTTTTATGAGACTACCATAGAGATATAGCATGAATGAAGTACCTGTGACAACCTCTAGCTGGTAGACGTTGTTGATCTGAGGTCCATGCTTGAACGCTTGACCACTGATTCCAGCATTAGATAGAGTACCTCCAACAGTCAGATGAAGGTAGTCTGTCCAGGACTTTGGTGAAAGACCGTATTTTAGACTCTCGCGTAGAATGTTGATCCATAATTCACCACCTGAGACATCGACGTACGGTTGCTGCCCCTTGTAAATCCTGATATCATGACTTCGAAGCGACTCCATGTTGATGACAACACCTTGATGAGTTAGAGCTTGTCCTTGAAGCGAGTGACCATGGCCTCTAGCTGCTACTGTAAGATTCGAGGTGGAGCCCAGATGTACTATATGCCTCATCATTGATGAAATATCAGAAACTGACCTCGGATGTAGAATTGCCAAAGGTCGGTAATGGTATATGTTGCCAAAGTCCTTGGCCGCATTGTGGACATCATCGAAGCTTACGTAACCCTCCAAATCTAGTGAATCTAACGAGGAACGAATATCTGAAGGATTTGAAGGAGGTAAATCTATTGGGGTACTAACAGAATGATTGGAACAAAGATTGGTTCTACCTGGTATACAGCTTAGAACCAAGATCATGAAGATTCTGAGGAAAGTCTTGTTGGTTCGTCTACGGAACCGTAAAGATGAGGTCAATCCCATTTCTAATGCTTCCATATGATATGTGAAGTAGAGGTAAACTTGAGATTTAAAGCACTCGAGGAAGATTGAGATAGCGAGAAGGGAATTTAAAAGGAAAGGTTTTGGGCGGTACAGTCAAGTAAGTCATATACTTGTGTTCACTATATATAGATGGATTACCATTACTTTTTGTCTCTTGCTGTAAGGTGATACTTTATTTTTGTTTTGCATATTTTATAAGGTGAAAATTACTAGAAAAGTATTCCTAACTTATTTCCCAATTTTTTTTATGGTAGGTAAATAATTTACATGCTTAGTACTTACATTCTCTCCCTGGCAAGATTTCCTGCATAAAAGGTAATAAATTTTTGTTTCACTGCATAGTTTTTTCTTCTTGTTATTGTTTTATCTCTTGGCTAAGCTTACTGTCAGAGTACGTACACTAGGTCCCCTACTTGGGTCTCATGGTACTTGAGCTCAGTTTTAGACAAGACAATCTTGCCCACCACCCCTTACGACCAGTCTGGTAAACCTCATGGGATCATATTTATTGGACCATTTTACATCACTTGATCTTGTCAGTTCTTTTTTTTTTGAAACTTATCTTGTCAGTTCTTGCAGCATTAAAGTTTGACTATTAAGTTTGAAAGTAAGTTACCCCTTAGGACCAAACATTAGCATTGGCTACTATTCCTTGCAGGATGGATACAGAGCTGTCCTAAACACATGCATGTAACACCAAAGCATTCCTTGTTCCTAATTCTTAAGAGAAAATAATAATCTTGTTGCATTTAAATGTTTCAGGTCTCCCTAGCGTGATCGGTGCTGTTCATGTGTATCCTCTCTTGCCGTAACTTGTGTAAGAAAGGAAAATTCCTACATCTGTATGTGGAAACGCTTTGTGTTGCTCAGTAAAGAGTCTCAACTTTCAGCATGAAATATTGAAGTGGACATATAAAAGATCGTAGGCTTATGTTCTTATTGGTGGTCCTGAATGACCAAGTTAAGGCCTTGATATGATTTTGCTTCACGAGTTATATTGGATCTTATTGGAGGTAAATATACAGAGAGATATATAGAAGAAAAATCAATACCACTGTGGTACTTGCAATAAAGATATGTATGTATAGTGTTGACTTGTGGGTATGTGTTGTGTATTCCAATAACTTCATGTTCTTTTTTGTTGTTGTGTGATTGAATTGAAAGATGTAGGGGCCTTGCCTACACAGTCGGGGAAATACGGAATCAAACGCTGAAGAAGATTGTAATGTGGGTAGTCGAGTGACAGTTTGAACAAAGGAAGCACTTCGTATAAAAAATATAAAGAAAAAGGTATTGATATTGCTCACTTGAACAGAAATGTTGAAATTTTTAGATTGATATGTTCATCTTTATTTACTTTCTTTATAGTAAAGTATCAAGTGGCATCCAACAAATCTAGTCGTAGGATATAATGACTCAAAGGAGTCTATGAAGCAAAAAGTTTATAGTGACCAATTATGTCCATAGATTTTGCAGTGAATAACTACCCTTCGTCGTGTATCTGTCTTATGTGACTTTGTGTGCAATGAAAACCAGTGCTCTAAAACATTATTACTCCTTTTTTGGCTTCTCTTTTTTTGCATTACTAGTGTTACAATCTATTTTCTATTTGCTTTATTATCTTTTTTTTAATATTTTCATGATTACATTGTCCCAATTATTGGGGGCATTGGCTAATTCACCTTTGTTTTTCGTAGCTCACAATACCTTGGTCGCTATAGTGGACAAATACTTGCCCCTGTAAGATACTCTTTCTTCTCTATTTAGACTTATTAATAACAGAGCATTTTAGTCTAGTGGCGCAAACCCGATATTAAAACAAATCGAGTTTTTCGGGTTAATATGAAATGATGTAACTCCTATTTCTTGTTAAAGAGGATCAATGCATAATCAAGAAGAGCATGAATTTTTCTGTAGACCCCAAATGAATCCCTTTCCGTACAGCAACAGTATTGACATTATTCCCATAGATTTAGTAGCACAAAGTTGTTGGTTTTTTCTTTGTAAAGGTTTATTGTTCTGTGGTTGAATTCTTTTTAATTGTTTATTTTAGCCTTGTCGAGTTTTTGCAGGTCTCAATGTAGTGTCACTTTCCACTCAAAAGTTTCTTTTTTCTTTTTCTAATAATTTCACAGGTAAATCTTCGTGAAGATTGCAATAAGAAGATAGTTGGGCACATTAAGACTGTTTAAATTGCATCATGACAATTGACAAGCACAATATATGATATTAAAACCACCACCATTGCCGCAAAACAAAATAAAAAATAAGGTTAGACTCCACAAACATATTTAATCATTATTACTTTTATATGATACATGAATCTCATTTTTCCATTTTTATTTCATTTAAAAAAAAAACATTATGGATATTAAAACGATGATAGATAATTAGATACCTCAATTTCAAGTTATTGATATTAGGGAGAGATAAAGAAATGGTCCCAAGATAGAATGTGGTGATTGTGGAGTTTGGGCTCATTGGCTAGTTTCGTTGACAATTAGGTTTCTACTGTCTTCAATTATTATAGAGATACCTTTTTCTTCTGCAGTGATGGGTTATTTTCTTTCTTTCGTTTCAGAAATCTCTATGTCTTCTTTCTCCACTTTAAAAGA